CCTATGAGGTAAGTGCTACAGCTATTATCTCCATTTAATCAAAGAGGAAACTGAGTCGGGGCAAGTTCAGCGAGTGTCACACAGCTAGTAACCATCTGATGAAGGATTCAAATCCAGTTCTGTCTACTATGTCACCTAGCTAGCTGCCTCACCTCTGCTTTATCTTAACCATAAATTCTCTCCATTCTTAACCTGGGATTTGTGAACATGTTTTTGTTTTTTACATATTTTGATAGGTATTTCAGTATAACTGGTTTTCTTTGAAAACCTATGTATTTTATTTTATACACTTTAAAAATTTTATTCTGAGAAGGAGTCTCTAGGTTTCACTAGACTACTAGAGGGGTCCATGACACACAACAGATTCAGACCGTCTGCTCTAATTCATCCCCATCAAGTGCTTATCAACCTTTGATACATCGGAAAGAGTAAGTCAGCCAATAAGCATTTATTAAGGGCCTACTATGTGCCAGGCACTGTGCTACGCACTGGGGATACAAAAAGAGGCATATGACAGTCCCTGCCATCAAGGACCTCACAGAATAATGAAGGCAACAAGAAAATATATACAAACATGCTACATATATACATACATACATACTTTTATATATATATATCTATATATCTATATATACAGGATATATAGGAAATAAGAGAGGTAAGGCACTAGAAATAAGAGGAGGTGGGAAAGACTTTTTATAGGAGATGGGAACTGAAGGAAGCCAGAAAGCCCAGAAGCAGAAATGAGGAGGGCAAGCATTCCTGGCATGGGGGATGGCCAGAGAAAATGCCCAGAGACAGAGATAGAGTGTCTTGTCTGTAGCATGGCAAGGAAGCCAGTGTCACTAGATCAAAGAATGTGTGAAAGGGAGTAAGGTAAGAAGACTGGAAAAGGTGGAGAAGAGGGGAGCAACTAGGTTATGAAGGGCTTTGAACACCAGAGGCTTTTATCCTGGAAGTGATAAGAAACCACTGGAGTTTATTGAAGGGGGAGAGGGGAGGTTTGAGGTGACATAGGGACCTGTGCTTTAGGAAAAACACTTTACTGGCTGAATGGTGGATGGATTGGAGTAAGAAGTGACTTAACTCAGGCAGACCCACCAGCAGCTATTGCCATAGTCCAGGTGTTAGGTGATGAGGGCCTGCACCAGAGGGGTGGCAGTGTCAGAGGAGAGAAGGGGGTTATAGCAGAGAGATGTTGCAAAGGTGAATTTACAGGCTTTGGCAACAGGTTGGATATGGGGGGTGAAAAATAGTGAGGAGTCAAGGATGACACCTAGATTGGGAGCCTAGAGGTCTAGGAAGATGGTGGCACTCTCTGAACCATGGCTGTGGAGTCAAAGGGCCTGGGTTCAAATACCAACTCTACCACTTTACCACCGGTGTAACCTTGGGCGAGTTGCTTAACTTCCATGGGCCTCAATTTCCTCCTCTGCAAAATGGAGGGGGGAGGTGCCCTAGATGGTCTCTGAAGTCCCTTCCAGCTTTAAATCTATGATTGTGTAACTGCAGGGTAGAGAAGTCCCTACCTCCTGAGATAGATACCTTAGATACCTTGACTTTTCTGCCGTCCTACTTTGAGACAGTTCTAATTGTTAGGAATAGTCTTCCTTATTTTGAGCCCAAATTTGCATCCTGGGAACACCCACCTATGAGTTCCTAGTTCTGCTGTCCAGGACCAAGCAAAGCAAGTCTATTTTCTCTTCCTTCCAGCTACCTTGGAACTTCCTTCACACCTAGGGCCTCCTCCCCTAAGAGTGGTGGGGAACCTTCAGCCTCGAGGCCATAGGTGTCCTCAACGTTCCTCACCCCTGCTCTATAAACCTTTCTGCCAAACTGGCTCCCTTCTCCCACGGGCGAGTTCCTCCTGGGCTTCCATCTTGGTGAGGGTCCCAGGCTGGCTAACCTTCATTCCCCTCCTGGCTATGTTTCTGACTTTCTGGACTCTGCTACTCAGCCTCAGCTGCCATCTCAGCCTGGAACTTCCCTGGGAATGGGCTCAGGCTGGCCATGCTTCATTCTAATCACTCTCTGGACTTTGCCACCATGATCCACCCCCACCCCTTCAATTCCCTTTGATGAATTGTCTTCATCTACTTGAATGTAAGCTCCTGTGAGGGGAGGTACATCCCTACCACTTATCGAAGTGACTGGCACTTAGGAAACAATAAACGCTTGTTGTCTTGCCTATTTTGTGTGACGAGATATTTATTTGAAGCCCTCCCCAAATCTCCACTTCTCTTTCTAGGGAGACAGCTTTTCCTTTCTGTTGCCCTGTGAGGCTGCTCTCTGCCAGAGGGGCAATTTGAGGGGTGTAAGAAGCCATGGCCAGATCAAGCTTCAATCACCAAACTTCCCTAGTCAGAGTGATCCCAGGAACAAGTTTATTGAGCAGAAAATGAAGCCAATGCTGCTCAGCCTGAAAAATCTAATTAACACTCATATTCCCTCCACAGCAGCCACTGTAGCAGGAACCTCCCCATGGACCAAGAGGTCCTTCAAACACCTCTTCCATGGGCCCAAAGTGAGACCCACTTCCATCTTCTCATCTCCAAAAGATCATTATTATATGGGGCAGGAAGTAAAGGATGATGAGACAATTTGGAGTC